TCCCCAGGAAATCCCTGAGCGGCAGCCTCGAGGTTGAGGACAAGAGGCGGAGATTGCCAGAGGGCAGGAGCAAGGAGAGGCGAGCGCCACAGCGCCATGGGGCAATGCTCGACGAGGCCGCCCCTCAGCATGCGGAGAGTGGCGGGCCAATGAGGGAGCGTAACAAGAGCGGTACGCATGGCAGCAGCGGCAGCAGCGATGTAAAGCGACCGCACTCGCGGGCCGCTCCAGGTGCCGAGGTTGAACCAATCCGAGTAACGCAGAGCCGACATCGGCCACTTGAAAACCTGGGCCAGAAACTGCCGCTCGATTTTAGCAACTTCCCAGGGGATCGGGACCAACTGCAGAACATACGAGGGCACACGGAGCGCCCGCTGACCGTAAAGAGAGACCCCCGTCGAAAGATCGTGCCTCACATCCGCGATCGCTCTGGTCCGAGTGGCCATCTTGCTGAGAGGAGCTCGAAGATTGCGCGACGGATCCACCCAAGGCCCCAGCCAGAACCCAAGGCACAAAACCTCGGACGCGATTTCGAATTTCCCCCAGCAGGCCGAGCTCGGTGGGATGGTGGCTCCTGGACGGGGGCACGTGCATTCACGGAGGAGCTGACGAACATCGCTCGCGAGACTACCAGAGAGAGCAGCGCTTAGCGGGACGACACGGCATTTCTCGGCGTTGAGCGCGAGCCCCGCAAGGTGTTCAGCAATGCGAAAGATTCGGGCGGTCTCACGGTAACCTTTCCGAGATGAGAGAGTGGCGCCAATGTCGTCGGCGCATGCCCGAATCTGGCCGTGCCCTGGCCTCTGCACACTGCGGTACACGCCCCACAGAAAACTATCAATCGCAATGACAAAGAGGCTGCCGCTGAGAGGGCTTCCTTGCAGCACGCCTGAGATCATGAAGAGAGGAAGAAAGAGACCGCGGACAGAGAAGATGCAGGGATTGAGGTGATAGAAGCCTTGAACCGCGAGCGAGCACCCGCGAGGAAGCTTTATCTGCCGCAGCGCAAGCATGAGCCAAGGCTGGCTGACCGATGGAAACGCTTGGGCGAAGTCGAAGGCCAAAATGGCACCCTCTGGAAGCTCACGTGCGCTGATAAGCCTCGCGTGAGCATCGAGCTCGTAGACGTTCGATAAAAAATTGCGGCCCCGAATGAAGCCTCGTTGCACGGGGGCGCCAAGCTCCTTCACCACCTCAGACAGACCCGAGTTGGCGACCCCAGCAACGATCTTGTTGCTCGTGGTTTTCAAACCGATGGGGCGGGTATCCTTCCCGTGGCGAACAACCCCTCCAGAGCGCTCATCGTCGCCGTCGAGTACCCCCTTCGGAATGAAAACCTGCAGACATGCATAGAAGTCGAGATGCATGCGTTGGCCGCTCGCCAACCAGTGGAACGCGTTTAAAAGGACCTGGGGGCCCTGGCCGAATCCCCATGCGGTGTACGCAAGCCCATCAGGGCCAGGCTCCGCGTGCGAAACACGTCGAATAAACCGTCGGATCGAGGCAAGCGAGGGAGGACAAAGTTGGGTGAAGTCCTGCTCAGACGCAAACCTAGAGAGATAACGCTGGCCCCATCGCGGGACTTCCTGCTGCTTTTCAAAAATCGGGCCCCAGTAGGCCCTGAGGGCCGCCGTCTGGCCCTCGGCAGAAGCATGAACGGTCGAAGCAGCCCCGTCGAAACCACCCCCCACCACTCCCGCCAGGCACCGCCTTCGATTGAACGGGGACCAGATCTGGGCACGACGTCGTAAAGCTCTCGCTTGGGATCGGAGACGAGCACGGCGTCCATGCGCCCTAGAAGCCCCTTCGGCCCGCTGGAGCCGCTCGGTTTCGGCCCGGGCCCCCTGGAGCTGCAAATCCGAGTGCGCACGGGCAAAGGCATCAGGGGAGGTGAGAACGACAGACGAAGACGACGGATCGACGGAGAAGAAGGAGCGGAGCCACGGATGCCTTTGCCAAAGGACGTTTCCCAAGCGAGAGTCCTGACGCCAGACAGCCCGAGCAAGAGAACGCAGGAGCAGCGAGCGGCTCTCGCGCATCCTGGGGCGGTCACGCAGCTGCAGATCGCGAACGGCACGAGCAGCTGCCTGCCGGCATCGGCTCGCCATCTCCAGCTCCGCCGGCGCCGAGAAGTGGAGGTCCACAGCAGAGGTGCAGGCGAACGTGTCGAACTCGCCGATGCCAGCAATCCTCTCGTACTCCTCGAGAGTCGGCGCGTAGAGAGGGTCGCTGAAGATGCTCCGTGGGATCTTCCGAGAACGCGGCTCGCCATTGGAGTCCCAGCGTCGCGACTGCCCGGAGATCTCGAGCGGCACGTGGTCGGACAGGTGCGCATCATGGAACTCCTGCGGTTCGCCTCGGTGCCGAGCGCATTGCCAGAGCTGGCAAAGAAGCCATGGGGGCGTCGCCGCGAAGCACCTGTTAATGCGGGAGCCAGTCCGCGTGCCAACATGGAAGTGACTGAGGCCAGGCGCCGCGAGCTCCGCGAGATGCCGAAAGATCCTCGCCCACCTCGAGCGACCTGCAAGAGACTGGCGACCCGCAGATGCACGCGCCGCAGCGGAGCCAGCAGGGCCAGAGGCAGGGCGCCGAAGGCGACCGCGGACGTAGACAAGCTCCGCAGTGGAGTAGCCGACCTCCTCGTCAGCAAGATTGAAATCGCTAATCATGAGAATACTGAACTTCAAGGGGTCTTAACGGACCTGCTCGAGCTGGGGCAGAAACGCTTGCCAGATGGCGCTGAAGTCCTTCGCATCAAGATCGTGGTTGCGAACGTTCCAGTGGTACCAGCAAAAGCCAGAGCGCCTGTGGACAAGCTTGAGGCAGAGCACCCCCCCACCACAATCTCGAGGGGCGAGGCCTGGATGCCCGCCATGAGAGAAGCAGGAATGAGAGCGCAGACGCCACCACAGCCAGCAGAGCCAAAGACCGCGACCCCTCCACGAAGACGCGAGAGAAGCTCCCCAACTGCCGCAGGGGGACCATGAACTTCTTGAAGGGCCGTGATGGAGGAGGGCGAAAGGAGGGAGCGCGCGATGTCGGCCTTGCGGGCCATGGCGGAATATTGATGATGAAGAAGAGCCCGACAGTTCCAGCTGTTGAAGACCAGCTGGTCGGTGTTGCAGAACGTGTTACCCACTCCACTCGATGTGCTTGGGCAGGAAGAGCTCGTTGGCGAGCTTGTCCAGGTCAGCGCGTGCCAGACAAAGATCAGAAAGAGCGCCCAGATTCCACTGCACCTTCGGGGGATCGGATGGGTCGACGACAACGCGGGCGAGGATCTCCCAGTCGACGGACAGCGTGCCTGCCCCCTTGTCCATGAAGACCCTCTTCCCGATGAAGTCCTGCAGCTTGTCACGCAGCTTCTTGGTGCTGCGCCCCCGTGCAATCTCGAACCTGTTGCGGTCGACGCTGACGTAGATCGGGATTCGGCGACCACCAGGCATCGGGGCCGAAAGCTGCCGCCAAACTCCATGAGCGTCGCGAAGGAGAGCGCGAGCCTGGCGAACCCGCGCAGCGCACGTGACAGCAAGTCCCTTGAAGCGAAGAATGAACCTGCGACCCAGCCCATCGCCCTCCAGCTCGAAGTCCTTGCCAGCCTCGTAGTTGGCGGCCTGCATCCAGCCAGCCAGCGCATCAACGACCAGGTTCTTGCCAACATCCTCCTTCGCAGTGATGACGAAGATGCCAGGGTCCGTGGCGCGCTGCCACTCCGCGGTCCGCGCGATGGGCTCGCGCGGGGCGGCGCGAGCGAGGTCCAGCTCCTGCTCCAGCTTCGAGAAGCGGTCGGAGAGCGAGGCGTGAGCGGACTCGGCGGCACCCAGCCGCTTCTCGACCTCAACCATGCGGAGTTCCTGCGCTCTGAACCTTGCCTGCATCGCCGAGTCGAACTGAGCAACGAGGGGCTGCACCACGTTCGAGATAGTGCGCGGGAGCTCCGTGCGAACCATGTTGGCGATAGACTCAGCGGAGGCGCGGGACATCTCTGCAATGATGTCCGTCTTGAAGCGCTCGAGCGCCTCAGACATGCCAGGGATAGCACTGGCCGGTGCCGCCACATTGCCAGGGGCCGCCTCAGCGGCCGAAGCGTCACCAGGTACATGAGAAGGAGGGGCATCAGGGCGACCAGGGGCGGCGCGGAGATGAGCAGCCCAAGGGTCGGCACCAGGCGGCCAGCATGGAGCGCCAGCGGGCTCTTGAGGCGGCGTGGGGAGGCCGACGACGGGCGCCCCAGGGGCCCAGGGACCAGCAGCAAGTTCTGGTAGGGCGCCAGCACGATGTGCCTGTACGGTCTCGACCACGGCCTGCTCGTCGGTCGGGAAGGTCGGGCACAGGTCCAGCGCGTCCACGTCTTCACGAGACATCGGTCCGCCAGACGGCTCGCCTCGGGCCGTGCTGCGACCAGCGCTGCGGGAGCGCTGGGAGCTGGCGGCGCCAGAGCTTGGCGGGGGCCGATGGTCACCACGACGATCACGACGAGAGGGGCGAGCTGAAGGAGAAGCCGAAGAGGAGAATGATTTGTCCGATCCATCCGATCGCTGCGCCTGCCTACGAACCTTCTTGTCCTTGCGGCGGCCGCTGCCCATTCACTCGAAAGGAACTGAGTGGGGGCGCCCAACTCCCCCCGTGAAGGCGCAGAGAAACACGGTGGTCTAGCCGTGGACCAGCGGTATCCATGCGGCCGCAGGGCGACATGGGTACCTTGAGCCAAAATGGCAACGGAGGGGGAGGAGGAGGAGGAGGAGGAGGAGGAGGAGGAGGAGGAGGAGGAGGAGGAGGAGGAGGATGAAGCAGGAGGAGGGAGCAGGAGGAAGAAGCAGGCAGCAGGAGGAGGAAGAAGCAAGGGAGCAAGTATGTAGCAGCAGGAGGAGGAGGAGGAGGGGGAGGAGGAGGCGGATGAGGAGCTCCCGCTCCCATCGTCTCCGAGAGGCTGTTGCCGTGGCGACGGCGGTAGCGCGTCGGCAGTGTGCTCTGGGCAGCGGCCGTGCTGGCAGGGCGGCCTTGTTGAGCTTCTGGACGCTCTCCTCCTGCTCTCGCGGCACGGCGGGGGGAGGGAGGGGGGGGAAGCCGCGAGCGAACGAGGAGCAAGAGAAGGGTTACTCAACATGGGGTCTGTATAAAGGGGGGGTGATTCACCTCCCGGCTGAGCCTGCCCAATCCCACTCCCCTCCATCCTCCTTCCCCTCCTGTTCCTCCTCCTCTTCCTCCAATTCCTTCTCCACCCATTCCGATAGCACGTGCCCAATCCCCCCAGCGGATCCAAGAGGGGGGCGATGATTGCCCCATCCAGAGTACAAGCTACGCTGAGGGCGCTGAAAAAGGGGACCCTTGGACAAGGAACCCCATGGTCTGGAAGCCAATAGAACAAGTAAGGCTTGATTGGCCATGGATACCACCGCCGCCCTCATCAGACAGAGATCATCCAGGGTCTGGAGCCAGCCGCGCCGTTATGACGACCCCAGGGAGAAGGGCCATTTCTGACCCCCCCAACGCGCCTATGTGCACGAGAGGCGAGCCCCTTCCAAACCCGACATGTCCAGACCTGCTTCTGATGTCAACGTCTTGACTGTACCTCTGGGCCTCTTGCAACCGCTTCTGCCTCAGAGCTCGCTGCCGTCCGAAGAGGGCCCCGCCAATCACGAGGGGAGAACGTATCTCGGGCGGGTGGTAATGGGGGGGGCCCTACATGGGGGGTGAAGAGATGGGCCCCCAATGGGCCCGTGAGGGCCATATTGGGAGCCAGCAGGGGCCTAAAAGGAGCCCATTGAGGGCCCTGTTCTTCACCCCATTTAGGCCACATCCCATGAACAGCCGCCCGAGTATCCATATAAGCCGAAGCCAAGACGAGGACAGAATCGGGTAAGGGTAAATCGAGAACCTCTGATATCCAGCGGCTCTGGAAAATGCCTCGGGCGCCGGGGCCTTGTCAAAGCGTTCAGGAACGCTCTGAGTGCGTTTTGGAACGCTCTGGAACGGATTCATCATCGTCTTAGCCCCGACCGACCATATCCACGCACTCGCACTCGCGGTCTGGATTCCGCGGCGCGATTCCCGCGGATACGTGGTCGCGCGGATACATTCCGCGCGGGGCATCCACACCGTCCGCGGGGAGGGGCCCAGCCAGCAGCAGGGCATCCGGAGCATCCATAGCAGGCAGGCTTGGACTGGAAAGGACGGTGCACTGCAAGAAGGCGTCCACGACCAGCAGGGAAACTCAGGGAGAAGTCTCGGCGGCGAGCGAGGGGGGGAAGTGAGAAGGAGAAGGCCCTCTCAGAAGGCGGCGGGACTTCTCAGAAGCCCTCGCGCCTTCTGAGAATTTCGTTGTCTTCGGGAGAAGGCCGGGGGAATTCCGAGCCTTCTGAGAATGCCCGCCCCGTTTCTCTTCCCCCCTCGCTCGCCGCCGAACGCCGAGGAGAACGGCACTACGGGACAGGGAAGGGAGGGAGCAGCACACGGAAAGATGAGGGGGGGGATGCCCTGCGGATGCCATGAGACGCACCTGTCGTGCTAGAGTGCGAGAGGGAGAAGATCGGAAGGGAGATAGTGGAGGGGACAGGGGGGCTGAGCGGGGAACAGGATCGAACGTGGGCGGCCGCGAGAAGGGAGGAGAACGGCGAATGGAAGGAAGGGGCCGAAGGGAAGGGAAAGGACGCATGGGTGGAGAGGGAACAGGAGGGCGTCGGCGAACAGAGTGGTTGGCCCTGGGCGTGGCGGCCAAATCTTGGCCCCGGTAGCTTCCAACCCGAATGAGACCGCACTCCGTCGCCGTGGCCACAGTCGTCGTCGTCGTCGTCGTCGTCGTCGTCGTCGTCGTCGTCGTCGTCGTCGTCGTCGTCAGTGTCGACGTCGCCGTCGTCGGCGTTATATTCGTCGTCGATGTATTCGTCGTCGTCGCCGTCGCCGTCGTCGCCATCGTCGTCGTCGTCGCCGCCGCCGCTGCCAGCTAGGGCGGCCGCCTGCGACACGTCGTAGATGTGGAGGAGCACCGGCAGGCCCGCCGGCGGCGCTGGGGCGCGTCCGCCCGCGGC